TTTGTGGTTGGGGTTTTTTTGTTGTTTGTTTGGGGTTTCTTGTTTGGTTTTTTTTTGTGGGTTTTTTTTGGGTTTTTTGTTTGTTTGTTTGTGTTTTTGGGTGTTTTTTTTTTTTGGCTGCAGTTTGTGAGGACCATTTTATCCCAGGGGATAAATGCTTCATATGTTTCAAACCAAATGTTTGTGGGTTTTATTTTTTTTGCAGTTTGTTAAGACCATTTTATCCCAGGGGTAATGCTCAAAACCAGGTGTTTGTGGGGTTTTTGTTGCAGCTTGTAAGGATAATTTTATCCCAGGTGTAATGTTTAAAACCAAGTGAGTATTGGTTGTTTTTTTTTTAATTTTTTGTTCTTGTTTTTGCTTTTTTTGGTTGCAGTTTGTGAAGACCATTTTATCCCAGGAGATAAATGCTTAAAACCAGATGTTTGTGGGTTTTTTAGCAGTTTGTGAAAACCATTCTATCCCAAGGGTAATGCTTAAAACCAAGTGTTTGTGGGATTTTTGTTGCACTTTGTGAAGACCATTCTGTCCCAGGAGATAAATGCTTAAAACCAAGTGAATGTCGGTTTTTTTGTTGCAGTTTGTAAGGACTGTTTTATCCCAGGGGCAATGCTTAAAACCAAGTGTTTGTGGTTGTTTTTTTCTTGTTGTTGCAGTTTGTGAAGACCATGTTATCCCAGGTGTAGTGTTTAAAACCAAGTGTTTGTGTGTTTGGGTTTTTTGGTTTTTTTGTTTTTTTTTTTTTTTTGGTTGTTTTTTGGTTGCAGTTTGTGAAAACCATTTTATCCCAGGTGATAAGTGCTTCAAACATTTCCAACCAAGTGTTTTTGGTTTTTTTTTTTTTTCTTTTTTTGCAGTTTGTAAAGACCATTTTATCTCAGGTGTAATGCTTAAAAACAAATGTTTGTGGGTTTGGGGTTTTTTTGTTTTGTTGGGGTTTTTTTTGTGTTTTTTTTTAATTTGTTTTTTCTGTCTGTTTTTTTAATGTAATTTTTGTTTGTTTTTGGGGCTTTTTTGTTGCAGTTTGTGAAGACCATTTTATCGCAGGAGTAATGCTTAAAACCAAGTGTTTACGGTTGTTTATGGGGTTTTTTTGGTTTTGTGGGTTTTTTTGGGGGGGGTTGTGTCATTTTTTTTTGTTTGTTTTTTTGGGTTTTTTTTTTTTTTTTTTGGTTGCTGTTTTCGTTTTGTTTTTTTTTTGGTTGCAGTTTGTGAAGACCATTCTATCCCAAGGGTAAAATGCTTATAACCAAATGGTTGTGGGGTTTTTTGTTGCAGTTTGTGAGGACCATTTTATCCCAGGGGGTAAATGCCTCATATTTTTCTAACCAAGTGCTTGTGTGTTTGTTTTTGCTGTTGCAGTTTGTGAAGACCGTTCTGTCCCAGATATAATGCTTACAACCAAATGTTTGTGGGGGTTTTTTCTTGCAGTTTATGAAGATCATTTTATCCCAGGGGTAATGCTAAAACCAAATGGTTGTGGAGTTTTTGTTTTTTGTTACAGTTTGTGAAGACCATTTTATCCCAGGGGATAAACGCCTCATATATTTCTAACCAAGTGTTTGTGGTTTGTTTTTGCTATTGCAGTTTGTGAAGACGATTTAATCTCAGGTGTAACAATTCAAATCAAATGTTTGTGTGTTTGTTTTTTGGTTGCAGTTTGTGAAGACCATTTTATCCCAGGTATAATGCTTATAACCAAATGTTTGTGGGGTTTTTTGTTGCAGTTTGTGAAGACCATTTTATCCCAGGGGATAAATGCCTCATATTTTTCTAACCAAATGTTTGTGGTTTGTTTTTTGGTTGCAGTTTGTGAAGACCATTCTGTCCTAGGTATAATGCTTATAACCATTAATGCTTATAATGTTTGTGGTTTTTTTGGTTGCAGTTTGTGAAGACCATTCTGTCCCAGGTGTAATGCTTATAACCAAATGTTTGTGTGTTTGTTTTTTGGTTGCAGTTTGTGAAGACCATTCTGTCCCAGGTGTAATGCTTATAACCAAATGTTTGTGTGTTTGTTTTTTGGTTGCAGTTTGTGAAGACCATTCTGTCGCAGGGCCACCTGAGCCCGCTGCCCCTGTACGTCAGCCCCGTGTTCTGGGCCTACGATTACTCCCTGAGGGTTTATCCCCTGCCAGACCTGCTGGTCACAGCTGACAAACACGACCCCTTCAGTGTCACCAGCAGCGAGTGCCTCTGCATCAACCCCGTGAGCGCCTCCCTCCCTCCCTCCTCACCCCTGCACTCCCATTTTCCTCTCATAAATGGGATTTTTCCCCCTTTTTCCTTCACAGGGCTCGTTTCCCAGAAGTGGATTTTGCTTCAAGGTGTTCTACCCCTCCAACAAGACAGTTGAAGACAGGTAAATATTTATTTCTTATGTGCTGAGTTTCTGATTATCATCAAAATAAGATAAAAACCACAGAAAATTTGTAATATTTGAATATTCCAGCAGCTTAACTCACACTTCATACTTAGGCAGTGCAGCAAATCCAAATGCCCAGAACTGAAGCAATAAATGTAGAAATTACAAATATCAGTGATGGAAAGCACAATTCAAAAGTATAAGGAGACGATTGCCTGATTTTCAATGATAGAGAACTAACTGGGAAGGAGATTTGTTTCTGGGGATGATGGTTGTTACATAAATTAATTAAATTCAGGAAAAAAATTTACTTCATTTTGTGATAATTATCAAGCCCAGAAGCAACTTTCAGGCTTTGATTTCAGAGATTTTTAAATCTGCACTTGTTCATTCCACTGACTGGAGAAAAGCTGGCTGCAACACCAAAGAAGTGTTAACGTGTATTAATATTCCAGCAGCTTAACTCACACTTCATACTTAGGCAGTGCAACAAATCCAAATGCCCAGAACTAAAGCAATAAATGTAGAAATTACAAATATCAGTGATGGGAAGCACAATTCAGAAGTAAAAGGAGATGATTGCACTGCCTGATTTTCAGTGATAGGGAACTAATTGGGAAAGAGATTTGTTTCTGGGGGTGAGGGTTGTTACATAAATTAATTACATTTAGGAATATTTTTTGCTTCATTTTGTGATAATCATCAAGCCCAGAAGCCACTTTCAGGCTTTGATTTCACGTATTTTCAAATCTGCACTTTTTAATTCCACTGACTGGAGAAAAGCTAGCTGCAACACCAAAAAAGTGTTAAAATGTATCAAAGGGCTTAAAATGGATGAAAATTTACCTGTTTGAAATAATGATGGTATAACCCATGAGGAAAAGCATAAATTTATCTTCTCCTTGTTGGAAAAACCTTCCCAGGGAATTAATAATGGGTCAGCCCATTTAACTTCTACTTTAATATAAAAAATATCACACCATGAGATACTTCAGGTCTTTAAACAGTTGCAAACATTATCAAGTGTTTCCTAGATAAAGAAATAGGACAACATTATGAACTATTTTTAAAATAAACCTTCTAAATACTGTTTTTCTTTGGTATTTTCAGCAAGCTTCAAGGACTCTGAATTTCTGTGGCACTGAAAAAAGGCAGTGAACCCATGGGAAGCCAGCTGTATTTTTTTTTTACATGCTTTAGTTTTGTGATGTATTATGAACTTTTTATAAAAAATGTCAAAGTCAAAACCGATTTGTTTTGTACACAAATAAACTTTTACAGGAAAAGACACTGCTGTCAGTTTAGATAAACTGTAAAGTCAGAGTGAAAAATAATTGGCAAAGCTTAAAAAAAGGTTAAACGGAGGAACAAGCTGTATCAAACAGGAAAGGAGCATTAAAAAAAAATAATTAAAGATAAGGAGAACTTGGATAGCTGGTTATCTGCAAGGAGCCTGGAAATGGGGGTGGGATTTTTCTCTGTCTGGGAAATGCCCAGGAAAGATCTGGGAGGTGTTTTATGACAGCAGCAGCCATTTGAGGATGGTAAAAGCAAGGACAGGATCCTTTAGAGCTTCTGGAGAAGGCTGGGAGGAGGAAATCTTGGTGGGAAAAGGAGGGAAAAGAGAGAAACTCAGCCAAAAGCTGCTCCAGGTGTTTGTGGGCATGGAGAGCAGAGGGGGCACCCCAAAGTGCCCACCCAGGAGTGCCACAGAGGGGACCCCTGGCACAGGAGCTGTGCCACAGCCCTGCCTGCTGTGTTGGCACTGCCCAGGGCAGGGTTATAAATACATATCATAATACTGGCTTTTCAAAAATACTAAAAAAATTGGATTCTAAATGTATAATGTAAAAGTAACTTTGCTGTACAGTTTTTATTCTATTAACTAAACTTACACATAGTAGTAAAACAGCTGATCTAGTTATGCTTGTGATACTTGAACTGCCTACTTAGCTGGGATAACACCCAGTGAATGTGGGATGGAGACCCCTGCTGCTATCAACACCTGTCTGTAAAAATTACAGACCAAAATATCGACTGAGGTGATGATAAGAATGCACTAAAACCACAGCAAAAAATGTGCATGCTCTGAAAAGGTGGACCCAATGCTGAACAGTTCTTAGAACCCATAAACTGGTTTGGGGGAAAGTTTAAATATGCATAATGATGAATATGCAGTAGGCTGATACAATAGAAAGACTATATAGTGAAAATATAATAGTAAAGGGTTTCTCCAAAATAGCAGGAGTGCTCTTGGCTGAATGCCCAGCACCCAGCTGTTACCTTTGCTTTATTTTTGTATCCTACCGACCTTTATGAAACTTTTAAACTTTACCAGGAAAGTGAACCTGGTTTTTCACAGCAGGAAGGAGGGACAGGGGGATATGGGCTCTGAGGGGACAGCGGGGCTGGGAGGGAAGCTGGGCCTGCTGAGGATTTAAAACTGCTCTGTGAGGGGATGGCAGTGGAGCTCAGAGCTCCACATGGGGAGGAACATAGACTTTGCAGGATGAGGAGGGTGGGAAAGCAGCCCTGCTGATGCCAGGGCTGCTGGCTGGAAGCCGCTGAGGGGAGGGGAGAGGCGAGGCCGGGACGGCGAGGCCTCTGCCCTGAGGGAGTGCCCGCCATGCTGTTTGCCGTCTCCATAGCAACGGCCGCGCCGCCGCCATCTTGTTTACCGTCACCACGGCAACGCCCGCCATCTTGATCGGCGTCCCCACAGCACTGGGCCGGGCTGAGCCGTGCCGGGGCCATGGCGAGCGCAGGGCGGCTGCACGACCTGAACCTCAGCGCCGAGGAGGCGGAGCGGCTCCGGCGCGCCTTCCGCGACGAGCAGTTCCGCGCTCTCTTCGCGGAGTTCGCGGCCGAGCTCACCGACCCCGAGCAGCGGCGGCTGTACGAGGAGGAGGTGGCGGCGCTGGAGCGGGAGCGCGGGGTGGAGGTGCGCTTCGTGCACCCGACGCCGGGCTTCGTGCTGCGGACGAGCCAGGAGGGCTCCCGCCGCTGCTACATCAATGTCTGCAGCAACCCGCTGATGGGGGAGCCGCGGGCCCGCGCCGAGCGCGGCGGGCAGCGCTGGGAGCTGCCCTATAGCCTGGCCCCGGGCCGCGAGGAGCTGCGCCCCGCCGGCCGCCGCCGCCTCCTGTACGACGTGGTGTTCCACCCCGCGGCGCTGCGCCTGGCCGCCCGCAGCGCCCGCTTCCGCCGCCTGCTCCGCGACACGGCGCTGGAGGCCGTGGAGAGCCAGTGCGGGGTGCGGCTGGACCGCAACAACGCCGCCATTCTGCGAGGGGTCTCCTACAAGGGCATCCCGCAGGCGCCCGTCATCCGCTCCCCGCTGCCCGGCGGCGCCCCGAAGCCGCCCGACGACGGCGAGTCCCCGCTGCCGCCCTTCCCCTTCCCGCCCGCCGCTCCCCCGCCGCCCGCCGCCCGAGCCTCCTCTCCCGCCGCGACCCCGCCGCCCTCCGGCCCCACCACGCCGCGCTGGAGCATCCGGCACCGCTCCTACGTGGACCTGCAGGACTACCGGCACTGCCGCGACTCGGCGCCCAGCCCGGTGCCGCGGGAGCTGGTGGTGACGGTGGAGCTGCCGCTGCTGCGCTCCGCCGAGCAGGCGGAGCTGGAGATCCGCGGGCGGGAGCTGCGCCTGGACTCGCGCTGTCCCGCCTACCGCCTGCGCCTCCGCCTCCCCTACGACGTGGACGAGAGCGGCGGCCGGGCCGCCTTCAACCGGGCCCAGCGGCAGCTGCAGGTCACGCTGCCCGTGGTGCTGCCGCCCGGCCCAAGGGAACCGCCGGGCCCGGCCGGGGAGCGGCTGGAGGGGGCCGAGGGGTCGGCAGAGGGAGAGGCAGGGGCAGGGCCGGCAGGGGCAGGGCCGGCAGAGGCAGAGGCGGGCGGCGGAACGGCTCCTCCCCCGGAACTCGGGCCTGGCGGCGCGGCCCGCGGCACGTGTGGCGGCGGGGAGCCCGGTGATCCGCTCACCGAGCCCCCGGCTGACCCTGACCCACGTTGTGATCCTCCCGCTGGTCCGTCTGCCGAGGCCCTCGCTGAACCGCCCCTAGAACCACTCTGTGATTCCCTCACTGAACCCTCGGGTGAACCTCCCGTTGATCCAACCTCTGAACCCTTTGCTGACTCCCCTCCTGACTCCCCTGCTGAACCCGCCACTGATCCAACCTCTGCACCCCCTGCTGAACCAGCTACTGATCCAACCTCTGAATCTGGCAGTGATCCAACCTCTGAACCCACCGCTGAACCAGCTATTGATCCAACCTCTGAATCTGCCAGGGATCCAACCTCTGAACCCACCGCTGAACCAGCTACTGATCCAACCTCTGAACCTGCTACTGAATCAGCTACTGATCCAACCTCTGAACCTGCCCCTGGTCCAACCTCTGAACCAGCTACTGATCCAACCTCTGAACCTGCTCCTGATCCAGCCTCTGAACCCCTCGCTGAACCTGCCCCTGATCCAACCTCTGAAGCCCCCACTAAACCTGCCATTGATCCAACCTCTGAACCCTTAGCTGACTCCCCTGCTGAACCCCCAGCTGAACCTCCCGTTGATTCAACCTCTGAACCCCCCGCTGGTCCAAGCACTGACCCCCGCTCTGATCCCTTCACCGCCGCTGATCCCCCCTCAGAATCCCGCACCGAGCCGCCGGCCCTGCCCCGCCCCGGTGCCGCTTCCCCCACGGCCATCCCCGCTCCAGCCATGCCCACCGGGGACACCGCTCCGCCGGCCCCCGAGGGCCCCCCCATTGCCACGGCCACATGCCCTCCGTTCCGTGCCCGGCAGGACGAGGCGTCCCTCACGCTGCTGCTGCCGGTGCCCGGCATTGAGCCGCAGAGCCTCCGCGGGCATGTGGGCACGCACCACTACAGCCTCCGCTTCCGCACCGAGCGCGCTGCCTTCGCCCTGTTCCTGCGCTTCCCTCGCTCCGCAGCGCTGCTGAGCCCCGAGAGCAGCGTCAGCGTCTCTGCCCACAACGCCGTGGTGGGGCTGGCCAAGGCCCCCGGCAGCACCGGGCTCTGGGACGGCTTCAGCTTCGGCCCCGAGCCCTCCGCCCTGCAGGTAACGCTGCTGGCACGCCTGCGTGTCACCTGTGTTATAAATGACAAGCTTGACTAGGCCAATATTCAAGCAGCAATCAATTTATTAATAATTATGAGCAATAACCTCATAATATATAAAATATATATATAATTATTATAATAAGTATGAGCAATACAGCGCTGGGTACAGTGGGGGAAGTTTTCCCTCCAACTGCACACCAATAGTTGAGGCTCACAGGTGTTTATAGGGGTACTCATCAGCTTTCTCAGCAGTTTCTATTCCCAATTTTTACTCGTCAGCAGTTTCTATTCTAAATTTTCACGTCACAATTCTATACACTGTTGTGATTTAGTTTTCTTCAGGATGCATCCCATAAGGAGTATCTTCATATGGTGGGGTCTGGCTTCCATAACAGAGGATTAACCCTTAAAAGCAACAGCCTGTTGCATATTCATACAGCTCATCCATGATGTATAAATTCCATTCAAACACAGGATTCTGTCTGGGCAGTGTCAGCTTCTTCCTCTGAATCCTCACAGCACCTTTGAGGCAGGAAGAAATTAATTTCTTCTGATAATGGAGCAATAAAGTCTCTTCCTCTGAGAGATTCAGGTGTCCTGTGGCTGCTATCTCAGTGCAAGTCCTTTCTTTAAAGAAAGTATCCTACATAGCATCGTTTCTATTTTAACCTTATGTTATAACCTAAAACTATATTTAATTATATTTACTCAAGAGAATTAACACAGCATCACTTTCTAACACCACACATATCATATTCATTTGAATATTTGCGAAAAGCCAAGTATAAAATCCGCATTTTTCACGTACCTGACACGAGGCCCAGCTCGGTATTTCACACCTGCCCGGTGCTGGCTGTGGCTGCTGTTTGAGTGCTGTTTGCCAGCGCTGGCTCGGGGAGGTGAGCGGGGCAGCTCGGAGCTGCTGCTTCCTCCAGAGCTGCTCCCGGGTGTCAGTGCCGTGACCTGATTTGTGCGAGCCTTGTACGAGGTCACACCGTGGAGCTGACACCGTCACCCTTGGAATTGGAATGACTTCTGCCTCACATACACATTTTTGTCTAAGGGAAATTCTGGTGATGAATGAAAACTGTGCCTGCGTCCTCCATGTCCTTAGTGCTCACTTTTAATGCCCTGTAAATTGCTCGTGCAGCCTGTTCACACAAAGAAAGCTCTTTATGATACACCAGGCTTACACACACCGTCATGAAGTGTAGGGGAGTGTCCCTGTGTCTGTGTTTTGGGACAGAAATCCCATTTACAGCCACAGGAACCCCCAGCAGCTCAACCAGAGCGGAGCAGCCAGCAGCAGCTGTGAACTGTCCTGCTTTGCTGGGGCAGATCTTCACCTCTCTGTCTGAATGTGACTCTCATTTAGTATTTTCTATTTAATGGGTCGTTGGGCAGTGATGCTTCTGTGGTGGGACACTGCATCCAGTGTCCCCAGAGGAATGCCCACCTTGTGACACTGTTTGTCCAGAGCCACTCACAGGAGTTCTGTGCAGAGCCACGTTCCTCTGTGAGCTCCTTGTGACACTGTCTGTCCAGAGCCACTCACAGGAGTTCTGTGCAGAGCCACGTTCCTCTGTGAGCTCCTTGTGACACTGTTTGTCCAGAGCCACTCACAGGAGTTCTGTGCAGAGCCACGTTCCTCTGTGAGCTCCTTGTGACACTGTTTGTCCAGAGCCACTCACAGGAGTTCTGTGCAGAGCCACGTTCCTCTGTGACTCAGACTTGCAGACGGTTTCTCATGAGCAGGGATTAAAGCTGCCCAGCTCTTGTGCAACCTTCTAGCCATGGGATTTGGAGTTTGGCTGGAGTTGAGAGCAATAAAATGCTCTGCAGTCTGGGTCACGTGCAGTGGGATTGCACGTCCAGGAAGCTGGCAGGCTTCAGGCACATCCACAGGGATGGACTTGGCTTGGAGCAGCTCCATTGCTCCATCCCTCCAACCAGAAATGGCTTGTGCATGGTTTTGAGAGATATTTATCCAATTAGTGTTTGTGCAGCTGAAACCACGTCGAGTTTGCCATTTAGCAGCCCCACACCTTTTACAGCAGCAATTCCTGTGAAGGAGGAGCTGATCATTTCGGGGAAGTCTCAAAGATGATGAATTTATGGAGAGCCACCCACGCTGAGCTGTTTGCAGAGCATTTCCTTTGCTTTTACCCGAGCAGGAGCCTGCAAGTCTGTGCAAGTGGGGCCACAGAACACTCAGTGCTGCTGTTCAGTGCTGGGATCTGGCACTGCCTGCTGCTGCCACGTCAAAAAGGCCACTGTGTAAACTCCTGCCTGCTCTCTGTGCAGGTCCTCAGGCTGCCCAGGGCACTGGGGGAGTCCCCATCCCTGGGAATGCTCAGAAAACCTGGGGATGTGGCACTTGGGAACATGGGTCAGTGGTGAACATGGTGGAGGCTGCAAGTTTGGGGTATGGATTTGTTATTGCAATTGGAGGAACATTTTGTGATTGAAAGGTTTTAAAAGGCCACCCAGTAATGAGAGTTTTGGCTTTATGAGTTACAAAAACCCTTTGAATGTGGTGATTTTATTATATATTGCAAAATGTTTTGGGTGGAGTAGGAGAAAGAGGTTGGGCATTACTCATCAGCTTCCTGGCCATTCATTCACAGCAGACTCCAGGAGATTCTCCTGGCCTCCAGTCCTCTTGGACACTGGGCCTGCAAATTGAAGCAGGAGAAATAAACTGAAGTCATTTGTCCTGTTTGCTTTTTTCCAAATCTCTGCTATTTCCCCAAAGCGCCTGAGAGCTGCTCAGAGTGAAGGGAGAAAAATGAATATTTAATTAGAGCCACTATTACTTGCTGCCTTCTGGCCATTAACCATTTGTTCCTGGTCGCTTTTCTCCTACTTGTGTTGATTCCCTCAATTTGTCTGATGCCACCTTGGGGGTTTTCCTGCCCTGAGTCTCATTCTATAAATCAGAGCTGTGGTTCTTGCACTGAGACCTGTAAGGAGCCACATCAGTCACTGCAGAGAGCAGAGCAGGGCCTGAAGGGAGCTTGGGGCTGAGGCCAGCAGGAATCTCATCGTGGAGCAGGAATCTTTTATCCTAGAGTAGGAATTTTATCCTGGAGCAGGAGTCTTATCCTGGAGCAGGAATCTTATCCTGGAGCAGGAATTTCATCCTGGAGCAGGAATTTATCCTGTGCCTCCCAATGTGCCTGTTGGCCATCTCCTCTCTCCCAGCAGCGTTGCCAGAGGATGGTGCCAGGCAAAAGTAAATCATGGAATGGTTTGGGCTGGGAGGGATCTTAAAGCTCAACCAATTCCACAGGCAGGGACACTTATCTCTGTCCCAGGTTGCTCCAAGGAGTCTCATCCTGGAACAGGAATTTTATCCTGGAGCAGAATCTCATCCTGGAGCAGGAATCTCATCCTGGATCCTGGAGCAGGAATTTTATCCTGGAGCAAGAATTTCATACTGGAGCAGGAATTTTATCCTAGAGCAGGAATCCTATGCTGGAGCAGGAAATTTATCCTGGATCCAGGAATCTTATCCTAGAGCAGGAATTTTATTCTGGAGCAGGAATCTTATCCTAGAGCAGGAATCATCCTGGAGCAGGAATATTATCCTAGCAGGAATTTCATCCTGGAGCAGGAATTTTATCCTGGAGCAGGAATTTCATCCTGGAGCAGGAATTTATCCTGTGCCTCCCAATGTGCCTGGTGGCCATCTCCTCTCTCCCAGCAGCGTTGCCAGAGGATGGTGCCTGGCAAAAGTGAATCATGGAATGGTTTGGGCTGGGAGAGATCTTCAAGCTCAACCAGTTCCACAGGCAGGGACACTTATCTCTGTCCCAGACTGCTCCAAGTTCTGTTTTAAAGAGCTCTGGAATTCCTGCTCTGCTCCGTTCTGGGAGGTTGATGGAGCCTGGGGTTCCCGTGGTGTTCCATGGAGCAGATTCCTCCCTGGGTTATTCAGAGGCTGCCCCTCCATGCCATGGTGGCTGTTCAGTGCCTGCCCACATCATTCCCATTAAATTCCAGCTCCTCCTTGGAGCTGGTCTGATCCACATGCTGGTGGAAGAATGAGTTGGGCTCATCCATGCTTGAACAGAACTTCAGGAACTGCTTTTCCTTCTGCAGTCAGCAGTGCTGAGTCCCTGTGCTGGGAGAGGATCTGTTTGGAGCTCAGTTTCCGTAGATGCTGAGCCCTTGGAATTCCCACCCAGCAAGTGCCTCTGTCCAGGAAATCTCTGCAGTGCCCTGCTCCTCCCTGGACTTCCACTGTGAGCAGTGAAAATTCACTCCTTGGCCAAACCAGAATCTCCACTCTGCAGTTGGACTTGATCATCTCAGAGATCTTTTCCGTCCTCCTGGTTCTATGACTGGTTATGGTGACCAGGAATCCTGTAAAAATCAAGATTCCATAACTTGGAATGTTGTGAGCTTAGGGTCACACATTTCAGGGGTTTGAAATTCACCTTTTGTCACTGCCCCAGAGACCACAGTGCTGATCCTGCTCCAGGCCATTTTTTTCCAGGGAATCATTTCCTAACCCGAGGAAGCTGCCTGATTTCCCCAGTGCCAAAATCTCTGCTTTTTGCCTCAAAATTCCTGCCATGGGCTGTGCTCTCCCCATTGCTCTTCACTGCAGTTCATCCTCCATAACCTTCTACACCTTGTGCTTAAATCCTGGGAATTCAGGCAGGGAAACTCCTGGGAAATCAGAGAATTCCCTTTCATTTCCAGACAACACAGCCCGGGGAGAAAATGAGGAAGGAGAAGGGTTGGGAGTTAAATAACCATTAATACAATTTGTAAGCCTGCCAGGCAGGGATTCTGAGAACATGTCCTGGTTTCTGGTACTGCTGGAGCTGGGCAATTATGGAAATTGTGCCTTTGGAAAGCACTTGGAATGTCTGGGAATGTTTGGCCTGCTGGGGTTAAATGCTCCATTCCTAACAGAAATAAAAAGCAATTTTCTGGAGCTGCTCAGACCTGGGGGCTCAGATCTTGGAGATGTGAAACACAACTGCC